CCCGAGTTCGATCCCCGGTACAAAAAAAAAAAACTAGCTAAAAGAAAGGATACCATAAAAAGACCTTTCAGCTTGGCATCCTGTAATCCCAGGACTGGGGAGGCTGAGGCAGGAGGATCGACAAGAGTTCCAGGCCAGTTGGGCCACATAGTGAGTCTAAGGCCAGTCAAAACTACACAGAGAGACTCTGTCTCAACAAAGAACCACAACAAACAAACAACAATGACAACAAAAATGTTGATTCCTCTCTCTGATACACCCTGAAATGCTTTTTTTGAGACAGGGTCTCACTATGTAGCCCAGGCTGGCCTGAAACTCCTGGCAATCCTCCTGCTTCAGCCTCTGGAGTACTGGGGTTAGAGGCGTGCACCACCATGCCTGGTTCTGCAATGCTTTTCTGTGACAAATCAAGAGCCTACCCCACACAGATTTGAGTTGAGGTCCAAAGCTCCTCTCTAGGGGGCCTCCTAGCACCCCATTCTGTGATCCTAACCAACTGAGGAACTGGGACTTGGCAGATACTGAAAGTGTGAGCCCATAGCTCCCCAGCTATCAGGTCTCCAGAAATAGAGCCGAGCTGCATATATATAGAAAGAGATTTATTTTAAGGAACTGACTCATGGGAACTGACTCATGTGTGGGCTGACAAATCTGAATTCTGCAGGGCAGGCTGGAGACCCAGGGAAGAGAGGATAAACAGCTCAAGTCCAGGACTCTGTGGGGACAGAATTCCCCTTCCTTGGGGACCTCCTTTTGGCCCCTTAAGGTCTTCAGGGGCTGGGGGCCCTCAGAGCACTTGCCTGTTCGCAGGAAGCCCTGGCTTCAATGCCCAGCGATGCAGAAGAAAAACAAAACACAAAACAAAAGGCAAGCCATTCAGCTGATTGGATGAGGCCTGTTGCAAACTGAATAATACATCGAGGAAAAGTGACAGTTTATATCCAAGCAGCAGAGAGAAGGGGGCAGTGGAAGGAAAATTACTAAGAGGAAACTAAAGCTAAAGAGGACTTTGAGAAAAAAATTCTTGCTAAACAGAGGTAATAGAGTTCTTTTTTTGTGGGGGTGGGGTACGGGGGATCAAACCCTGGGGCAGTCTATTACTGAGATACATCCTCAGCCCCCTCTTCTCCCCAGATACCAGGGTCTCCCGAAATTCCCAGGGGAATTTGAACTTCCCATCCTCCTGCCTCAGCCTCAGAGTGCTGGGATTACAGGCATGCACCACTATACCCAGTAGAAACTTCACCATTGTGCCCAGTACACCTGGTCTGTCAGGGAATTAAATTTGGCTACACCTGGTCTGTCAGGGAATTAAATTTGGCTGTTATCTTTTCTGATTTCTGGGAAAGCTGGATAATAACATAATTTGGTTTGGTGATTTGGAATTTCATTTATTTATTTATTTATTTAGAGACAAGGGTCTCACTATGTAAGTGCTGGGTGGCCTTGAACTCTCTATGGACCCCAGGCTGGTCTTGAACTCATGGCGATCCTCCTGTCTCAGCTTTTGGAGTGCCAGGATCACAGGTGTGCGCCACAATACCTGGCTGGTGACTTGGAATTTTAGGAGTGATTCTATTTTGATTTTTCTCCTGGTCTAGTGGGGTTTAGAACAAACAATGACCTCCTGTGGTTTTTAATTGGTAGGCTTGTCTGCCTAACGCAAAGTCCGCTGATATACCATCATTGGAGAGGCCTATTCTAGGCTGAGGGCTTAGCCAGCGGTAATGGGTTTAGCTTGCAAGTGTGAAGCACTGGGTTCTATCCCCAGCACCCCCAAAACATCCAAACCAAAACAAAATATCTTCACAATGATGATATAGGAGAAGGAATATAATTCCTGACCTGCTAGATGTCAGATGTGCTGGGTTCATTTCCCCTGAAATCAAAGAATGAATTCCAAAGGACGAGGAGGTGAAGAGGAAGAAAGATTTATGGGGAAATAGGAATAGGTCCCAAGAGACAGGAGGGGTCCCAGAAATGGGTTGAGACTGAGGCCCTTCATCAGGGCTAATTCATACAGCAAAGTCACGACTTTGGGTACAACATGGGTCAAACTATAATCAATAAGATTACAAGTATAGGGGCCGGAGATTTAGCTCAGCAGCACCATGCCTGTCTTGAAAGCGCAAGGTCCTGAGTTCAATCCCCAGTACCAAAAAAGAAAAGATTAAAGTATAGCTGCTTAGCTAATATTGATTCAATAGGAAAGGGAGGAACATAGCAAGGGCATATGGATGACATTGTTAACGCTGGCTTATCTATGACCTTTTTTTTTTTTTGACACAGGGTCTCACTATGTAGCCCAGGCTGACCTGGAACTCTCTTGGCGATCTTCCTCAGGAGTGCTGGGATTATGGGCATGCACCATCATGCCTGGGCTATTACCTATGACTTCTAAAACAGAAATATTTTAGGGAAACCAATGCGCTCAGTGTTCTGGTCACCCACCCAGTGTCTGATATCTGGACCTAATGGTCTGGGTGGTACCAATTACAATATAATCTCAAATTTCCATTCATCTCTTAGGGAAGTATGCAAGCCTGGCCATTGTGACTTTAATCTTTTTTTTTTTTTTTTTGGTACCAGAGATCGAACTCGGGACCTTGCACTTTTGAGGCAGGCGGCAGAACCACTGAGCTAAATCCCCGGACCGTAACTTTAATCTTAAGGCCTTGCCTTCTTCAGATGCTCCCCCAGCCACAATTCTAATGTCTTTATTTTTGTCCCAACTTCCTTTGGAGCCCAGTCTCTGTTGGACTACTTAATTTTTTTGTTTGTTTGTTTTGTTTTTGTACCAGGGATCGAACTCAGGATCTTGTGCTTGTGAGGCAGGAGCCACTGAGCTAAATTCCTGGCCCTCTGACTACATTAATTTTTTTTTTTGGTACCGAGGATCAAACTCTGGTTCTTGCACTTGTGCAGCAGGCAACGAAACCACTGAGCTAAATCCTTGGCCCTGACTACATTAATTTTGATCTAACTTAGCTGCCTATAATAGTGATATCCAGAATATTGCTTGGTTTAAAACTCAGCTCCAGGGCCAGGGATTTAGCTCAGTGGCATCACACCTGCCTCATAAGCGCAGGGTCCTGAGTTTGATCCCAGGTACCAAAACAACAACAACAACACAAAGCTCAGCTCCAAGCCAGGATGGTGGTGCACGTCTGTCACTCCAGTACTTGGAGGCTGAGTCAGGAGGATCACCATGAGTTCACCTCAAGTATACAGAGTTGAAGGCCAGACTGAAGTACATAGTAAGACCCTGGCTCAAAAAACCCAAAAACTCATAGGCAAGGGGACAAAGGAATTCAACTATTGTCTTGGGGCATTTGACACTTTCATTAATGTTTTCCCCCAGGACCATTATGTTACTCTTCCTGTTAAAATGGAAGGAGGTTCTCTTTGGGAAGAACCTTTCCTTATATTCACCCTGTCAATGACCAGTGGCTGATGTATATATATATAGTAGGTGCTCAATAAACAGCATTATTAGCCAGACTCGGAGGCCCATACTCTGGGAGGCCGAGGCAGAAAGATGGAATGTTTGAGCCCAATCTGGGCAATTCAGTGACCGAGTAAGACCCTGTAATAAAATTTTTAAAAATGAAAAAAGGGCTGGAGATGTACCTCAGTGTGAAGGCCATGCGTTCAATCCCCAGTATTGGGGGGTGGGAATCTAGAACCCAGAATTATTGTGGTAAGAGTGCTGTGCTCGGAGTTAGAGCAGGGTCCTGGACTCAGTGTCCTATACTAATATTACAGACAGCTAAGTAGAAATATTATAGACAGACAGGGCTAGGCCCTGGAGGGAGTCATTGCAGAGGATGAAACACATTATAACTATGGCCAGAGGTACATCCACTGGAGGCCAGGCCTCAAAATGAAGATGGAATGACCAGGCCTACATGCCTCCCCAGGGGATAAGATCATTGGCATCACTTGGTCCAATAAAGTCCAGACAGACATCAGTCACCCCAGTGGAAGACCAAGACCTCTAGATCCCTCTCTTACTATGAAAGGTCTTTGTTCTTTCCACGTACACTTGCTACGTGACCTGCTTCCCCATTGGATCAGTATTACCTAAGCGGCTATACTTGTAATCTTATTGTTTGGTTGTGGTTTTGTCCCATGTTGTACCCAGGATTTTGTACCTGCTCCGTGATTTTGCTCCATAAAACTTCCTGTTAGGTGGGGTCCATCGCAACCCACTCTCGAGTCCCCTCCTGTCTCTCAGGAGTTATCTCTCTCAATAAAGTTTTTCTACTCTCAATCTCCGTTATTCCTTAGAATTCATTCTTCGATTTTTTTCCTTTAATTCTTTTATTGGTACATTTTAGGTGTACAATACATTTACATTTATCATTGGGAACGTGTACCTTTACCTGATGTATCTTGGTTCTTATTTTTTCCCCATTCCCCTGCCCTCCCTTCACCTCCTCCACCCTTCCCTATCATTCTTCGATTCTGGGAAACACGAACTTGGTGCATCTGACGTCTAGCAGGTTGGGAGTTACATTTATTTCCCCTATATCACTAAAAGTTGATTGATGGTTTTTGCACAGAGGGATTTTAGGGAGGTGAGATTCGAACTAGAGACTCTCCGCAGCTCGCCCGCAGGGATTCCCTGAGTCCCCGTTTCCGGCCAGCGGGGGCGTTCGAGGGCAGCCGAGGATTTGCGAGCCAAGAGTGCGTGCGTGCGTGCGTGACGTACGCACTGGCGGGCGAGTCCACGGGGGCGGGCCGACAGAGGGGTGGCCCGCGGGTGCGGCGGACGGGGCTGCTTCCACGAACCGCCTACTCGCGCCGGGGGACCCCCGCGAGCGCGCAGGAGTGGTTTCACCCAGCCCCCGGCTCATTGTGCTCGCCTCACGCCGGCCCAAGATGGCGGCGGCGCTGGAGGCCTCGGGCCTGTGACCACAAAGAGGGAGCCGGGGGCCGGACGGGAGCGCTGCGGCGGCGGCGGCCGGCCGAGGCCCAGGCCGGGCCTCCCTCCCCTTAGCCTCCCGCCCCTCCCTGCGACCGCCCCCTACTCCGCCCGCCCTCTCGCCGGCGGCCCCGCCCCTCCCCCAACCGCCTGACTAGCATGGTGCGGCGGCCGCGCGCGCAGACATGGGGGAGAAGCTGGAGCTGAGGCTCAAGTCGCCCGTGGGGGCCGAGCCCGCCGTCTATCCGTGGCCACTGCCGGTCTACGTGAGTGTCGCGAGTGTCTCGCCGGAATCCTGATTCCCCATCCTTCCCAACAGCAGGGACCCAGAGTCGCGGTTGGGGATCCGACCGTTGTCCCCCCGCGCCCGCACGGCTGCCATTGGCGGGCGGGCGCTAGAGCTTTAGCTGGGGATGGGCAGCTTGTTTCCAGGGTGTTCCTGACGCTGACACCCCGCGGCCCTAGTGTTTCTGCTTAGTGTCCTGTCTTCCTCGTTCCCCCAGGTGTATTTTTAAATTAGTAATTTTTTTCCATGGAATGTTGGTGGGACCAGGGTGACCGTGGCAAGTTGGGGAGATTGTTCCCCCTTCTTGGCAGGCAAGATCGGGGTGACTGCGGGAAGTTGGGGAGGTCTCTCCTCTCTCTACTTGGTGGGTAGGATTAGGGAAGTTGGGAGTTTGTCCCCCGCATTTTGACGGGTCGGATGGGATTGACCGCAGAAAGGTACTGATCTTTGTTCCCCTAGTCCTAGTGACCCTTGGAAAATGACAGCCGGAGTGTAAATGTAAAAACTGCCCGCCATGGGGTTCCAGAAGTCCAATGCTCTTCCAAGAAAGGGTCAGCGCCCCAGTCCGAGGGGCGGCCTGTGTGTGTTTGGGTGGAAATCTGAGCAGACAGGTTGGCAGGCACCTTTGGGAACGCATGATCACTGGGGCCCCTCTCTGTCTTGTCAGCTTTTGGAGCTGTGGTGGCCATGTGTGGTGGAGGGCGGGTATGTTGCTGTGGCTTTTCCAGTTGGGCAGCTTGTGTAAATCAGGGATGGAAACTCCCACCGTTTCCACACTCAAAACTCCCGTCGTCCTTCTCCCTTCTGTGAGAGTTCATCCTATTGGGCTGCAGAAGTTTGAAATTTAATTTTTACTTCTTCCTCTTTCAGTGACATACAGTATAATTCACTCTTTTTGAGGTGTAGTTCTATGAGTTCTGGTAAACGCCTGGGGTCCCTAACCTCTGTCATGCTCCAGGAGCAGAACACTTCCAGGGATCCAGGGCTCCCTTCCATGGCCCCTCAGTCACCTACCTCGTACCCATTTCTTTGTGTGTGAGGTTCCTGGGGTTAGAACCCAGGTCTTCAGTACTCAGCTACATCCCCAGCCCTTTTTTATTTCTTAATTTAAGACAGAGCCTCAGTAAGTCACTGAATTACCACAGCTGAGCTGGAATTTGCTGTTTTCCTGCCTCAGTCTCCTAGAGTGCTGGCATGACAGTCACGGGCCCAGCTTGTACTCTGCCTTAAGCCTGTAGTGTTGCCTTTATCAGAGACTCAATGTGAATGAATCAAGTGTGTAGCCCTTTAGCTTTGCAGTATTCACTTAGCAGGAAGCGTCCAAGAACCATACACCTTTCCAAAGTCACTCTTTTTTTTTTTTTTTTTTGGTACCGGGAATCGACTTTGGGTCCTTGTGCTTGCGCAGCAGGCAGCGAAACCACTGAGCTAAATCTCCAGCCCCACTCCTTTTGTTTTTGCTGAGTTGCATCTCTTGGAGCAGTGGGCCACAGGTTGTCATTTGCCTTTAGGTCACAGGACACTGGGCTCTTTTTTTTAGTTTTTTTGTGAATAGAATAAAGCAACATGAGAGGGCAGGTGTCTAAGTGGACAGAAGTCTTGTGTCGTTTCTTTCTGTGTGATACCCAGGCCTTCGGGTCTGTGCTGAAAGCTTTGAGTCCACTTCTGCCCCTTTGAGTGTTGGAGGAGCCAAGAAATCCCCTGGATCCCACTGTGGGGCCTTGGGCAGAGTGGTGTTGCCAGATTGGCTCTGCTCTGTTGTCCTGGTCCTGAGATGAAAGTTCACCCAGTGACTGTGTCCGTGTCCCCACCCACAGCCTTATTGGCGGGAGCTGGTGTTCCAGTGGCGGGCGGGACTGAGGCTGGCCGCTGGCCGGGCCTCACTTGGCAGGGGCTGGGCATTCTTTCCCACTGTGGCTGTGCTGCTCAGCCAGGGCTAGCAGGTGTGTGTAGGGCACATGGAAAATCTCACAGAGGGAGTAAGTAGGGAGCAGCAGCTTTTCAGGAGTTCGAAGTGCCCTCTCACCTGCCTCGGGACCCTGGGCATTTTGCTAAGAGTTCATATTTCATTGGAATCCCGTGATTATCCCATTAAGGAAATGCTGTGTTGCCCAGGCTGAGATTCTGCAGGGGCAGAGTACTCCTGGCTGAAAATTTGAAATGATGGGGTGTGCCTGTTCAGGATCTATTCTGCAACAGGGAGAGGGGGACAGTAAGAGTAGTCCTGATCTCAGGAGCCTTCTAAGACCAAGGTGGGTTAGGAAGAGGTCTGCAGAGTTACAGTACCACACACAAGTAGGGGGGTCAGCTGAGGTCCCTGAGGGCGGGGCTGCCAGCCCCCCACCATGTGAGTGGTCTTTCAGAAGAGGGGGCCCTCTGAGGGAGGAAGGAAATGGGAACAGCCGCAGCTGTCCATACTTGGAAATGTCCACCTTCGGAACTTGCTTTGCACAATGACAGACAGGAGTCGGGAGGGAGGGGCAAGTCAGGTCTTCAGTTGACTTAGGGTTCTGGGGCACGAGCTCATTTCTAGTGCTCGATGGCCGCTCTCTGGCAGGAAGGGCAAAAGTGGTATTTTTGGTTGCTTACCCGGCAGGCAGCATGGGGGAAAAACCTGAGAGGGTGTCGGGGTGGCCTTCTCTCAGTGACTCAGTCAGCTGTGGGCGGCTCAGCTGTGGGCAGTGGAGGAGATGAGTGTCCCCTTCTGGTGAATAGGTGGAAGCCTGAGTGAGTTGTGAGGGAAGGGTGACTCAGAAGGTATTTTCTGTGCTGACCTCTCGGAAGCATGTCCCACTTAATTCCCACTCACGGGCGGAGGCAGGGCGGCCTTTAGACTGCTATGTGTGTGTGAGCTGAGGGCTGGCTGGCTTCAGAAGGGACTGGATGACAATGACTGGCAGGCCTTCCTTTGCATCATGAAGTGTTCAGTGTCCTGCTGTGTTCTCTGTGGTTCACAGTCACTCTGCCTACTTCCTCCTGATGGCATCCACGACTCAGGAGCCTCCCCTCAGCCCAGCCTCTCACTGGAAGCTCTGTCCTTTTGTGTTTTTTTGGTACCAGGGATTGAACTTGAGACCTTGAGCTTGCAAGGCAGGCATCAGAACCACTGAGTTAAATCCCCGGCCCTTGTTTTTGTTTTTTTGAGACAGGGTCTCACTATGTAGTTCAGACTGGCCTTGAACTCACTATGTACCCCAGGCTGACCTCAAACTCACAGCAATCCTCCTGCCTCAGCCTCCTGAGTGCTGGGATTACAGGCATGTACCACCACACCGGGTGTCTTTTTTTTTCTAAGTTAAGCTTTATTTTTTGAGTCAGGGTCTTGCTGTGTCTTAGGCAGCTTGAGCTCACCATGTAGCCTGTGCTGGCCTTGAGCTCCTGCTTTAGTCTCCTAGGTGCTGTCAAGTTAAACTTTTTATTTTTTTGCAACACTGACGATGGAATTCAGGGTCTTCATACTGAGCTCAAGTTCCCCCGTCCCCTTTTAAATAGGGTCTCACTCTGTAGGCTGGCCTTGAACTCATTATGTAGCCCCGGTTGGCCTCAAACTAGCAATGATCCTCCTGACTCAGCCTTCTGAGTGAGTGCTGGGATGACAGATGTGCACCACCATACTCAGCTACACTTTTTATTCTGGGGTAATCGTTGAGCCACATGTGTAGATGCTCTTAAGAAATAATCAAGAACCCAGGTGTGGTGGTGCACGCCTGTCATCCCAGCACTCTAGAGGCTAAGGCAGGAGGATTGCTGTGAGTTCAAGGACAGTTTGGGCTACATAGTGAGTTCAAGACCAGCCTGATCTACATAGTGAGAACCTGTCAACTGTCTAGGGCTGGGGATTTAGCTCAGAGGTGCTGCACCTGCTTCATAAGCACAAGGTCCTGAGTTTGATCCCTAGTACCAAAAAAAAAGAGAGACTCTGTCTAAACACACACACACACTCACACACACTCACACACACAAAAGAAAGAAATAATTGAGAGATCCTGTGTTCCCCTTATGTTCCCTTATTTCAGTCCCCAGTGAGCCATCACAGAGCCCTTGCTCACAGAGTCTCCGTGGGGCATGTGACGCCATGGTGGGGCACTCCGGGCTAGGGGCACAGGCAGAAGCCATCAACAAGGGCCCTCATGGGAGGCTTCTGCGCCCAGGCACACTTAGGCGTGTGGTGTGGAGACCTTTGCAGTTGTCATGAGTGGGTAGGGGAAGCCTGTGACTGACTGGACACCGTGCCCCCCCCCCCAGTAGTGCTGAGGCTCAGAAAGATGCTGTCCTTTATTTATTTATTTTTTTTGTGGTACTTGGGAGGGATGGAGCCCAGGGCCTTGCATATGCTAGGCACGTACTTGCCACTGAGCTACACCTCAAGTCCTTTTTATTTTGAGACTGGGTCTTGCTAATTGTTCAGACAGGCTTCAAACTTGCTTGGATTCTCTTGCCTCAGCCTTCTAAGTACCTAGGATGACTGGCGTGCACCCACATCCAGCAGTGCTGCCCTTTATCAAACAAAGGCACAGATCGCTACTCCACGTCGCTGAGTGTGGATGGGTGTTCTGATCTCTGGGTGGTCACTCAGTCAGCTGAATGGTTCTCTACAGCTGTCTTTGGTCTTAGGCCTACCCCAGAGCTGTGCAGGGTGCTCTTACTTTGTGACATCTGAGTCCCCATTCCACACCTGCCCTCCTTCCTTCGTAAAGACGGCCAGACCGAAAAGGATTTCCTTATGAGTGGTGTCAGCGCTGCAGTGAATTAGGTACCTAACTTGGACCAGGGCCCAGGCCCTTTGTGAATTTCAGATGCAGGGTCAGTTTTTAAAATGTTCCATTGGCAGGGTTTGGTGGTGTGTTCCTGTAGTCCCAGCTACTTGGGAGGCTGAGGCCTTGCCTCAGGATTGCTTGGGCCTAGGAGTTCCATGCCAGCCTGGGAAACAGCAAGACCCAGTGTGAAAAAACAAACAAGAAGTTGGAGTAAGTTTACTCT